CCAAGTTTGAAATATTGTCAATGAGTATAAAAAAATAGAGTTTCAAGGCCAGCCCTATGGCCCGATGGTTAAAGGAGCTAAGTCCCACGTGGCCAATTGCACTTTGAATCCCAGCCCTGGTAGCTTGAAAAATATACTGGGTATGTGTGCCCCAATCCTGACAGGATGGAAAAATGAAGGAGAGGAGATTGCAGTTTGACCACATCATGGGGGGGGAGTGCTTTCTCCCTCTTTGTCTCCATCTCCCTCTGGCAAGCGCATATGCCATCTGACAATTAAAAGAAAAAAGGAGATGGGACCAGCAGTTAGCGTAATGGCTATGTCGCTGGACTCCCACATAGTCGACCGCGGTTCGCATCCCGGACCCGGTGACTGGGGGGTGATTTCTCGCTTTCTGTCTCTCTGTCTCTCTCTCTCTGTCTGGCAAGTGCGTGTGCCTTCTAGCAAAAACCTCTCAAAAAAAAAAAAAAAAAAAAGAAAGAAAGAAAGAAGGAGAGAGTCCCCTAAGTATAACAGTGTACAGTTTTGGAGCAGCCCTATCCACTTATTCTGTATGTGTCCCGAATCACCCATTGCTATATGTCTTTATTTCCTCACCTGTACTTGGGGAATAAATATCAGAAACTATAGCATTTGTTCACCTTCAGTGATTATTTTTGAGCACACATGATTTGAGATGTTGGAAACAAAATATGAACAGAAGACATAAAGGTCTCAGACCTCATGAAATTGACATTTTAGTGCACTCTGTTAGGTCAGCGGGACAGTCATGATATATTTTTCTATGTTTTTTCTATGCAAAAATGCATCATGACTTCCCCAACGACCCAATAGTACATTTTTAAATAAGAATGGAATTCCATATATATATATATATATTTATTCCCACCCCTCCAACCCCTGGTGGAGGGTTACTGATTACAGTTCTTTATTTCAAGCTACTCATCAGAGAGTTAGGGGTAGTGAATGGGAATGAGGGACACAGCCTGGACCAGGCATCCTTCTCTGAGAGGCTCAGAAGCCTTGACTGATGTCCTCTTCCTCATGGCTTCCTAGGGATAGGGATGGGGGAGGTTATTTCTTCCACCTTAAAAGCAGGAAAGTGCTGGTTCCATGACCACCCACAGTCACCCAGAAATCCAGTGGTGGAAGCACAAGGCAGTATCTCCTGCTTTCTAGACTGCCTCTAGCCTCCAGCACTGGAAACCCTTTACATGCATATAAAGAAAGATTAGTCAAGATGAAGTTTGTGGCATTTTGAAGATATAAAACATAAGCTCTTCAAGTTTCTGATGACACGTCAGAGCTTTGTTTCCTAAACAAGAGGTTAACTTTATAGGTTCACTCATTTGTCAGTGGAACACTTTCTGAGCTGTCATGGCCAGCTTTGGGTATAAAATGTGCAAAGTAAATTTAGGATTCATCTGGTTTTCCTAGAAATATTAATAATAAAAGTAGTGTGGGGTTTCTGGGATTTTGTGAGGTTTCTCCTTGCATCCCTGTTCTTAATAATATGAAATGATATCTGTGTGATGTCCTTGCCAAGCCAAAGTTTCAGAGGCCAGCAAGATTGACCTTACCTGTGGATGTTTGTGTGCTGACTGTTGAAGACCATGCACAAGCACCTGCACCCAAACACATCTACACACAAACACACAATAACTCACACTCACCTGTCTTGGGGCCAGAATTCAACCTTAGACAGGCAGTGTTCACCTTGAGTGTTGGGCCTGCAACTTAGTAAAAATACTTGGCAGTGGAAATGACCATCTTTTGTAACCCTGTAGCCTAAAAACAGACTCCTGAATGGACCTGTGGGAGAAGGAAGTCTCTGTGGATGAACAGCTATTGGATGAAATAAGTGTGACCAAAGAACAAGTCACTCGGGAGTTCGGCCTGGAGCTCTACGTCTGTCTCTTCCAGATGAAACTTTTGTTCAATATGTGAATATTATACTACCTGTTAATGAAAACTGTTGGGGAATGTAGGAAATAACAAGTCAGATGTTTTTTTATTTTTTGTTACCTGTTGCTAGATTTTTTTTTTTTAAAGTTCATCCTTTTTTAAAAAATTTCATCCATTCATTTCTTCTGTGAAGAGAGAAACAGAAAGAGAAAGAGGCACTGCAACAGGTCTTCACATAATGATTTACCCCTAGCCTTAGCACAGTCAGCCATGTCAGATCCAGCTGCCTTAACCACCTTACCACTGTATGGCCAGGGGGGATGGCCTCACTGCAACAATCCCTTCTCCTCCATTCTCCTCTCAGGATCTTGGGCACACACTCACACATGCCCGGCATGAGTTTAAGCCACCAGTTCCGGGACTCGAACTGTGGTCGACTACATGGGAGTCCAGCGACATAGCCATTACGTCAACTGCTGGTCCCTCTGACCTTTCTTAAGATAGCTCTTTTGATTTATTTGTTAGGGTGTTGGTACATCTTCATCTCTATATGGTAAGTTACTGACACCTTTTTGTCTATTTCATGATGTCATGTTTCCCTGATAGTTCTTGATCCTGTAGTTGATTACTGATCTCTACACATTGAGTATTCCAGGGTCTACAGCTTTGCTTTGTCTGGGAATGTCCTTCAGCAATAAGTCTGTTCTGGGCCTGCACTATGGCACAATAGTAAAACATGCTGCTCTGTAAGACTGGCCCACAGGGGAAGGTTCCAAGTTTGTGTCTGGGCACCTGCCTGAGTATGCCTGGCATGTAGGTTCCCATAATCAAGGACTGACTAAGGTTGAGGTGGATCACAGCATTAATACCATGCTGAGGTGTGCTCTCTCTTTCTCTCTCCCTCTCTTTCTTCCCCTCATCTCTCTTGCTAATGGAAGAACTAAATAATTTAACAAAACATAAAAAGCCCAGGTGGCAATTCTTGGCAGGTCTTATGTTTGGTCTCTACAGCTCGTGAATCACTCTTGGGGGCCCTAAGCTGAGAACTACTATGGCAGATGTTGCACTGGGATGGAATCCTTAGCTGTCAGCACTGATGCTGGGTCTGCCAGGCTGGGATTCAAGTCCTTTGCTGCTGAGGTCCGCTTGTCTCTTGTTATTCTGAGCCTAAGGTCACAATATTTGACTGATAATGAGGTGGACTGAAATTTGAGTTCATGTTGCTGGGCTGTGGATTCCCATCTTGTACCAAGGCAAATCTAATGACTCAGTCTGAAGGTATTAACCTGGATTCAGGACCATTCAGGTCTGCCTGGCATTAGATTTTTACCATGGGGGCCTGATATTGGGTCCCAGGAGAAAGTCCAATGTTTCCTTCTCTGTCTTTTCCTTAGGTAGAATGGTATTTTTCTCCATACTGTGTTGCCTGTGGGTGGGTATGGGGCAGTGTGGATAACAAACAATTCTTCCTGCCCTATTCAGTGGTTTTCTTCTTATTCTATAATCAGGTATTGAAATCTCTCATCTAGTTCCCTTCACCCAAGTGAAGGTATTTTCATACATGAATAGTTGTTCAACTTGTGTTTCTGTGGGAGGAAAATCACTGTAAAGTTCTATTTTACTGTCTTGTTCCATCTCCTCTCTCTAAAAATTCTCCATTATTTAAAGTCAATTTTCCTCTAAACTGAGTCAAAACTATCTCAAATCGTTATGAAAAATATCCACATTTTGAGAATTTAAAAAATAAAGATTTCATAAGAATAGCACTGTAGGGGCATGTCAACCATGGTTCGAGTCCAAGACTCAGCAGCTTGAAACTCATGCTGCGCACATGTATGTGCATGCCTAAAACCCCAAGAGGAGAATGGAGGAGAAGGGATTGCAATATGGCCATCCCCCTGGGGAGTGACTTCTCACTTTCTGTTTCTCTCTGGTGAGCCCATGCACCTTACAGCAAAAATCTCTAAAAGAAGAAAAAAGAATAGCATTATAGAAAGAGAAAGAAAGGAAAAAAAGAAAGGAAGCATTGATTACCAAGTCACATTTCATTAGATATACAAATTTTGTACACAAGTGAAAGCTAAGGTTCCTTCCAAGAACTACTTTGAAGCTTGTAGTAGATTTGATGTCTTGTGACATTTGGAAAAGGAAATTAGACCTTAAACATTAGAGAAGAAAATGAATTTATAATTGGAAATTTTGAAATATCAAAAAGATTAATTGAGGGAACCAGCAGTTAGTGTAATGGCTATGTCGCTGGACTCCCATGTAGTCGACCGCGGTTTGCGTCCTGGACCCAGTGGCTTAAAACTCACGCCGGGCGCATGTGCGCGTGTGCCTAAGATCCCAAGAGGAGAATGGAGGAGAAGGGATTGAGGCGTGACCATCCCCCCGGGGGGTGTTTTCTCGCTTTCTGTCTCTATGTCTCTCTCTGTCTGTCTGGCGAGCGCACACGCCCAATAGTGAAAATCTCTCAAAAAAAAAAAAAGATTAATTGAAAGAAGTAACTCTATGCTTCCATTCTATAAAGGAAAATGAATTTTCTAGGGGAATAAAATATTGAGAGTCTTTAACTGGTCATGTTTGTTCATATAAATATTGTTCATAAACATCTCTTAGTTGATGGTTAAATTTTAGAGTACATAATACATATTTCCTGTTGATTAGAGAAACTACTTTTATATTAAATCTTTCCTTTTTTAAAAAAATTATCATCTCTTTCTAGTGATCTGTCATATAATTGTAATCTTTATGTATTAGCCCAAGTTGTTTCCTCTTGGTCATACTCCAATTTTCTTTTCTCCCCTGTTCTTATCTACATCTCTTTCCATACTCTGATATTTTCTAGAATTCCTCTATATTTTGCCTTTTTTTTTGTTCTCTCCATGCATCTAATTATGTTTTGTATAATTTTATCTTCATCTACGCACATTTTTGTTAATCTTCTTTGGTCTTCTTAGCTTAATTTGAAAAACTCATTAAAAAAAAGGACTTCCTCATTTTAAAAGATACTGTTTGTATCTGCAAGTAAATCACAAAGAAATCGCTTCTGGATAGTTGTGAAACCAATATTTATTTTTATTGACAATGGAAAATACAAGCTAAGTATAAAGACCAAGGAGTTCAATATGTGTATTATATTATTCTTAGATGCGAAGAGCTTTCCTTTTGATGCTTTTCTTAGTTTTATTTAATCCTTGGTTTAAGGGGTTCTTGATAATCTGAATAGACAAGAGGTGTTGGAACTGGGATAAGGATCCACCATAGTCTACAGCATTTCCACCTTCTTCGGCAGGCACCAATTGTATCTTCTGTTAATTTGCAGATGTCTCTTCTGCAAATGCCAGACAGATTGAGACAATGGTTTTCAGCAGCACCCATGCCACTTCTCACTGCAGAATAAGAGAACCAGTGGGAAAGTTAACTCATAAATGGAATATAAAAGCATATACTTAAGTGTGATAATGGAAGAATCTTGGTATGGACAATTTTATGTAGAAAAAGAAGCTTAACAAAGGGATCTATTCAACTGCTTCTTCATTTTGACCCGTGTTTACTCTCTTCTTTTTACCCAAGAGCTCAGATGTTACCAAACCTCTTCCTCTCTTTTAAAATAAATTCTTGGAATGCTTAATTTAGGCTTCAAAAGGAAATTTGGTAAATATCAAAGTGAAACAAAAGGACAGACAATATGTATGTCTTTTTTGTTGTTGTTAGAGGGATGTTTGCTATAGACTGTGTGCACTCATTAGAGAGACAGAGACAGAAAGTGAGAAATCAACCCCCCACCCCCGTGGGAGGATGGCCACACCTCAGTCCCCTTTCCTCCATTCTCCTCTTGGGATTTTGGTCACTCACGCACTTGGCACCCAGCGTGAGTTTTAAGCGGCTGGATCTGGGACTGGAACCATGGTCAATTATGTGGGAGTCCAGCAACATAACCATTATGCCATCTGCTGGTTCCCAATATGTATGTCTTAAATACACAAACTTGTTTATTACTTTACTCCTTTATTTGAATTTTCAAAAAATATTTATTGAGTGCCTATTCACCAGCCCTTTTTATTTTATTGACATATAATAGTTATGCGTATTTATGAGATACAGCCTGGTTTATAAATATGTGTATATAATGTGTAATAATCAAATCAGGGAAATAAAAATATCCATCATCATAAACATTTACGAAAACTTTGTGTTGTGAACATTTCAGTTTGTATGGCTTAGAAAATGGTTTGTTCATAAAAGTTTCATATTTTGGAATTTGTTTTCTGGTGAGTAGGGATTGGACGTCTAGCAGAAATTTATGTGTCAGGATGTGACTTTATTGTAAAGGTATTCAGTGAAAATTTAATTCCTTCATAATGTCCCAGGGAGAGGTTTTGGTTTGATAATGTTATTCGAGTGGAGACTGTGATGAGTTCTGGAAGGTTTATAAGCAGAGAGAATAATATCAGAACAGCAGGAAGAAGGCATATGGATACAGACCATGTTCCATTTTGCCTTCTGTTTTGTGATGCTTTTGGACTTTCCAGACACCTGAATTACGAATCATTAAATTTCTACTTTTATAGATTCATCTAATCTCAGATATTTCTGTTAGCAATGCAGTAAAGAACTAAGACATAGATATTTTGAAATATACGTTCTATTGTCAACAACTATAGTTACTATACTGTGATATAGTACTCTAGAACTTATTATACTTATCTATTTGCACTCTTGGATCTATTAACCTAGTTCTCCTTATTCCTCCACTCCCCTTCCCTTCCCAGCTTCTGGTATCCCCCACTTCACATTTGACTTTTATTTGATCAAATATTTTAGTTTCCAGTAATGAGAGAGAACAATAGTATTTGTAACTCAGTGCCTCACTTATTTCACTTAGCATAATTTTCTCCTGGCTCATCTATGTTTCCTCAAATGACAGAACTTCATCCTTTTTTAAAAATAAGTTCTCCCCCATAAGACATGTATGCTTGCTGGAGAGAAACCAAGAGATAGAGAGGGAAAGTGAGAAATTACCACCACCACCCCCCCAGGAGAGGCAATATGGCATTCCACAATCCCTTCTCCCCTATTCTCTCAGGATTTGGGGTATGCATGCACATGTGCCTGACCTGGCCACACAGTTGGCTATGTGGTATCTAGCTGCTTTAACCATGCCACCTGCTGGCCCAGTAACATAATTTTTTTTTTCAGAGAGAGATTTTTTTTTTTTTTTGCTATAGGGCACATGTGCTCACCATAGAGACAGAAAGAGCCAGAGAGACAGAAAGTGAGAAGTCACCTACCGAGGGGGGATGGCCATACTACAATCCATTTTCTTCCATTATTCTCTCAGGATCTTGGGCACACATGCACATGCACCTGGCATGACCACTGGGTCCAGGACTCGAACTATGGTCGACTATGTGGAAGTTCGGCAATGTAACCTGATGCCATCCGCTGGTCCCTAGTAACATACTTTTAAAAATATCACATTACTTTTATTTATATTTGCCTACTGAAGCCATCACCAGCTAAGAATGGTAAGGTACTTTTTTTTTTAAGAGAGATTTTTGCTATAGGGTGTGTGTGCCTGCTGGAGAGACAGAGAGACAGGGAGAGAGAAAGTAAGAAATTAACCTCCTTCCCCCTGGGAGAATAGCCATTGCAATCCCTTCTCCTCTATTCTCCTCTTGGGATTTTGGGCATGCACACACATGCTCCCAGCATGAATTTTAAGCCACCGGGTCTGGGACTCGAATTGTGGTCAACCCTGTGTATCCAGCATCTTCTCTGACCATGATGGAATTAAACTCAAGATTAATTTCAAGAAACAACCCCAAAAGTACACGAACACATGGAAACTGAAAAACCTACTTCTGAATGACTTCTTCACTACTGAAGAAATTAAGGCTGAAATTAAAAAATTTATGGAAACAAATGATAATGAGTACACAAGTGTCCAGAATCTATGGGACACAGCAAAAGCAGTCATAAGAGGGAAATTCATAGTAATTAGTGCGCATAAGAAAAGGATGGAAAGATAGCAAATAGATAACTTATCATCATGCCTCAGAGAATTGGAAGAAGAACAACAAACAAACCCCCAAAATGCCAGGCGAAAAGAAATAATAAAGGTTCGAGCAGAAATAAATGAAATAGAAAATAAACGAACTATACAGAAAATAAATGAAAGCAAAAGCTGGTTCTTTGAAAAGATTAACAAGAT